TCCAAGATTTCGGGAAGGCTTGGCAAGATGCCGTTCAAATTTTCTGTGCCGTCCATAAGCCCGCTTCTGGGTCCAAAAATTGTCGAGATTTTTGCCAAGTGCTGGAGGGGCCTCCAGAGTAAGACGCACGAGCTGGCTCTGACATGCCATCTCGACAGGACCTTTCTGGAGCATTCAGCCCTGTGCTCCAAGCCTGCACCGTGTTTTCTGAGAAAAACAAGAAGCTGGCCGTCCAATAGAAAGATAAATCCAAACACCGTACAAGCTTTTTCTTTTCCAGCAACAAAACCTTTGGCATTGGAATCGCTGTTTATTTGTTTGCGAAGGTCTGTTTTGCAAGCGGCGCAACAGTTCATGACTCCAATAGAACAAGCAATCGTTAGCCAAATTGTTTTTCCCACAGCGCGCCGTGTGTAGGAGGGAACTACACCATGTTTCTGGCACACGTAAAAATCGTATTCTTCTGCAGCGCGGAGCGTGTGGTATCTAATTTCAATCAAAAGATCGAAAAAACTGTGCAAATCACATGCAAACTACCAGTGTAGCGTGTAGTACCTTTTGGTGGGGGAAGAAGCAGCTCAATGACAAAAGTCAGCCGTTTTCTGTGTCCATCAGAAACGCCCAAAGCTTCCGCAGCAAAGTCAAGCATCAGACGTGTTTTCGGGGTCGTTACGACGCTACTGTGGTTTTTTAAGCTGTTTGAGGCTCGAGTGCACTTCGTCAAGAACTGCTGCAACGAGGGGTAGACGAGTTCGATTCCAACCGAAGACGTGTCAAGAAAACTTGTCAAGCTGGAGCGAAGAGAGACCGCACACGTTATGTTGCAGACATGTTTTACGTGATGGAGTTCTCTTAGCTTTTTCGGTCAGGTGATGAGTGGTAGAGCCCTGGTAGGTTCGTCGTCGGCAGCAGGTCTCCTCGTCCACCTTTTGCATTCCCTCTCCGATCCAGGCCCCTCCACTTTCTCCGTGCCCGAGCCTCTGCCCTGCTTGGATTTCGAGGGCTCGTGGCACTGGCCGTCGGTTTGCTTCGGCATTTGCCTTGGATTTCTGGTGTGGCCCCTCCTCGAAGCCTTCCTGCTTCTCCGGGCCTTAGTGCTGCGGGCGATTTCTCGTCGCTTTTGCGGCGCCCAGGCTGCTTACTACCGGCTGCTGTGAATGAGCTTAGCCTCCCGTGTGGACGCACTTGAGGACCGTCTTTTCGCTCTGGAAGTGGCTGTGCAGAAGCTTTCTGAGGTTGTGCTTGGCTCTGAGCCTTCAGAGTATCTTCTTGTCGAGGACCTGCCTCGAGAGGAGCTCTCTGCTTCGGGTTTAGGCCCTAACCCCTCGCCTGCTTACCCCCCGCCCGCTAGGCCTAGGACTGGAGGGTTGTCCCGTGCTGCGGCCTCTTCCTCTGAAGGGCCCATAGGGTTTAGTCCCGAACCCCGCCGTTCAGGTTCTAGTGTCCCTAGTGCAAGCGGAGTCCCCGCCCCCTCCACGGACGGTAGGAGCATTTCGCCACGCGCTCGAGCGGCGGCCTGTCGTGAGATAGGGCTGTTCCTGAGGCGAGCAAAGAACGGGGAGCATCGTGGTGCGTCGGGTCGCGACAGACTGCCCGGGGCCTCCAGGTATTGGGTGGTGGTTCGCAATTTCAGCGGCGAGGAACTGCACCCTGTGGGAATCTTCAGCCGTTTCTCTGATTGCAAGAGCCTGGTGAAAAGGGGCTCGGACCTTGGTGAGAGTGTGTGCATCGGGCTTCCTTCGCGAGGGGACGTGATTGCCGTCCTCAACGCGGCGGATATCCCCTTGCCCGAGAGCTGGTAGCAATGTCGGAGGAGGAAGACGGGCAGCCCTTGGCCCCTCGAGACGCCCTGGCTGCTGGAGAAGGATTTGAGGACCCTCAGTGTCCCTTGGCGGTGGTGCGATGTGGAAACCAGGCCGACGGGACCGAGGTTGTGATCACCGCCATCGCGGTCAAGGAGCACGATGGCAAGATCGTGCTTGCTGTGCCAACTTCGGCCTGGCATCGGCAGGTTTCCCGAAGGACTCTGCCGAAAGGCTTCTTGGCGAAGGTTTGCGCTGCCGAGGTGGCCGCTTGTGGCTCGGCTTTGCGGTCCGAAGCGTTGGAAGGTGCCACTGTGAGAGTGTGGCTGGGCCTCGTCGAGCCGACCGCGGAGGACTCCATTCAGGTGCCGGACGACATGCCCGAGAATGTGATAGGGTTCGGGGAGTTGAGCCCCGGGGTTCCTGCTTTGCCCTTTGTGCCAGCTCTGGTGGCCGCCGCCGAGGATCACTTCAGCTTTGCCACGGGCGACTCCGGGCGGCCTGCCGAGCGAGACCCTATTGGAAGCCGGCTCGCCCGCCTCGAGCAGATGCTCCAGAGTGTCATGCTGCAAGCTCCGGCTGCCGGGCCGGGCCCGAAATCGAAGGCGAAAGCCAAGGTCCGCGCCAGTCCCGTGCTCGAGGGCTCACCTCCGGAACTCGACCCTTCGGTGGTCGCCGCTGCCAAGGCTGCCGGCGTGTCAGAAGGAGCTTTGGCCGAGATGGAGCTCCTCATGAAAAAGGGGCGAGGCTCACGGTTGCGACCCGAGCCAGTTTTGCCCGGGCCGCGGCCGCACAATCCCTTGGACGAGTCGGAGGAGGAGGACGACGATGGCGCCGGTGTTGGGTCGGGCGCTCCCTTGGTCAGCAGCTCCATCCAGGCGGGGCCCGGTGCAAGCCAGGCGGAAGCTTTTGCGGCAGCTATGTTCAAGATGATGGAGGGCTACCACAAGAACTCTGCAAAGACCGGCAGCTCCCTCGAGCGAGCCTTGGACGGCGCCGCCTCTGGATCGGGCGAGGTCTCCTCGCTGCCCGGGGCCCGTCGCAACTCAGCTGCTCGCAAGGCCCTTCGCGACGCCCTGACGACCAGCCCTGCAGACGAGCTGACCGCTGTGATAGAGAACTTGATGGCGGAGGACTTGGCTTCGGCTGCTCCTGGGGTGGCGGTCCCGGGGCAGGTGTCGGCTCGGGGGTGGGTCGAGTACAGGTCCAAGATAGGTGCTTATCCCTCGGCCATGTGGGCCACCTGGATCATGGCCGGAGCTTTGGACTGCTTACGGTCCAACCGCCCGGCCCAGGCTCGGGCCAGGCTCAACCTGGGCTTGCTTGTCTTCGACCAGATGAGCATCGACAAAGGATCTTTTGTGCTGGCCGGGGAACTCTCTCTGGAAAATCCCCCGCCAGCCCATTCGTACCGGCAGCACGAGCATCACAACACCGGTGTCGTGTACAGCCGCCTGTTGGATCCGCGGTGGTCGGAGGTTGCGATAAGTCATCTCAAGGAGCAGGCCGAGTTCCTTACCAAGAGGACCCAGCTTGGCCGAGCGCAGGGCTCTTCGACAGGAGCCGACCCACCGAGCGAAGAGGCCACCACTCCTGCGCCGAGGCGGCGGCGCCAGACCGGGAAAGATGCGTGACCGGCCGCGGCTCGAAAGGTTGTGCCTCCGCTGCCCCCCGTGATGCTTCAGATCCTTGCCCGCCTGGCAGCAGAGCCCCTTCCTTTTCAGTGCCGGCCCTTTTGAATTCGTTGCCTCGGGTCCTCCTTCGATTCGGTGGCCTTTTTGGTTCCTTTCTCCGTACCTCTTTCGCAGATGGCGCGCGTACCGCGCCAACGTGCCACACCTGGCCCTGCCCGATGCCTTACCCCAAAGTTTTTCGCGAGTCCTGTGCAGCTGGCGCTTGGAAGCTCAAGAGCGTCTGTGTGGCGGTGGCCGGCCTGTCGTGGTTGTACCTAGGCAAGCCCAGCTGCTGCCCCGCTGAAGTCAGGATTGGCGTCCCTTTGAACCGGACCCAAAAGAGTGCTGTTCGGCGGCTGGAGGCTGCTATGTTTGGCACGAGTTTTCCTTTTTCTTTCAACGCGACCGATTTGGGTCGCCACGCCTCTAAGGTTGAAGCGCACAATGACGTGTTGGCCGCGTTGGCCAGGGCTGCTGTCAGCCTCTCGAGGGAGTGTGGTTACCTGGGCAAGCCTACTGATGTGACTTTTGACGACCCTGCCAGCCAGAGCAGGGCCTACGACCTCCCGTCGGCAGGTGCCTCCCAGGCTTGTGGCGTGCTCCCGGGCAATCCCCCTACTGTTGCTAAGCCGATCGTGGCAAGTAGGATTAAGCTCCCTGGGCCCCCTAGGTTTAAGCCTCAGCCCTACATGGATGCAGGAACCGCTGCTCGCTACGACCGGCCTCTGGACTTCTGCCGCCACCCTGCCGAATGCCCGGAACCCCCTAAGGTGAAGATCCTTGCGAAAGTCGAGGAACGTTTGCTTTTGCTGCGGGCCCTCGCCGATACTCAGAGGTTGGTGCCAGGGCGGCGGGTTCCCGGGCGAGAGGACTTTGGCGCAGGGCTGTTCGCAGTCGTGAAGAGCGAGGTGAAAGACAGGTTGATCTTAGATGCTCGACCAGCAAACTTGCTGGAAAATGGAGTTTCGTTGTGGACCCGCACCCTCGCCTCAGCGGTTGCCGTGAGCAATCTGGTTTTGGAGCCCCACAGGACTATGCTTTTCTCCGGGGCGGACCTTCGCGATTGTTTTTATCAGTTCGTTGCGCCACCCGGCCGGGTCGCGAGGAACTTCCTGACAGGTTGGCTGGACTGTGGCCAGGCTTCGTTTGTGTTCCGACGGGACATGAAAGGTGAGTGCGACGAGCAGGGGCGCGTTTTCGTCGCCTTTGCTTCCCTTGCTATGGGCGACAGCGGGGCCTGCGAGTACACCCAGTGCTCGCACCTCGGCGTTTGCCTAAAAGGTGCCGCCATTGTGCCGGGCGAGCTTTTGGTGCATGCTGCGGCCCCGCCTCGTGGCCTCCTGTCGGTGGGCTTGGTCATCGACGACCTGGTCTGCCTGGACCGCGTGCTTACAGCTGACCTTGAGGCCATCAGGGCAGGATCCACGAGAACTGAAGGCAGCCGGAGGTTGGATGCAGCCCTCAGTGCTTACGACGCCGCCCCCCTCGAGGTCTCCTCCGATAAGGTTTTTCGAGACCAGGTGAAAGCCTCTTTTTGGGGCGCTACCGTGTGCGGTGCCTCGGGATGGCTGAAGCCGAATGCTCATCGCCTGTGGCCCCTCATCTTGATCACAGTGAGGACTGTCCAGCTTGGGCTCGCCACCCGGCACCTGCTTGAGTCTCTCGCCGGGTGTTGGATTTCAGTGTTCATCCTTAAGCGCAGGCTGCTTTCTGCCATGGACTTGATTTTCAAGGCTTGTGGAGCCGGTGTGCCGAACACCATCATCCGGCTCTCTCCCGCTCTGCGGTCCGAGTTGGCTTCTTTTGTGTTCCTTGGGCCCCTGTGCAGCGTGAACCTCCGGGCCCAGATCGATCACACTGTGACGGCTACCGACGCTTCCTCCGGTTGGCAGGCAGCCGTTCGTGCCGAGGTCCCCGCGGCTGTCGCCCAAGAAGCTTACCGCCACAGCGTGCAGAAAGGAACCTGGACGCGTTTGCTTTCGCAGCCCGGGGCCTGGCTCAAGGACCATGGGCTGCTGGACGTTGAGTCTGAGCTTCCTGGGGGCGACGTTTTCGTTGCTCTACCCCTGTACGTCGGGCTCGCCACTTGCCCCCAGTACTCCGAGCTCTGGCGCAAAAGCTACAAGAACAAGGTTCACATCAATGTTGCCGAGCTCCAAGCTTTCCTTCGTGAAGAAGCCCGGGCAGGTCACCGAAAGCCGAACGCGCGGATGATCTTTGCCCTCGACTCACAGGTCGCTATTGGAGCGATTGCAAAAGGGCGCTCGGCCTCCCCCAGGCTCAACGACCTTTTGTGCCGTTCGATCCCGACTGCCGTCGGCTCGCAGTGCCAGAGTGTGCCAGTGTACTTTCCCAGCGCGCTTAACCCGGCCGACGACCCGACGAGACACCGCGAGGTCCGGCCGCCTGTTAGCAGCCCTCCTGCCTGGTGGGATGAGCTTTGCGTTGGGAACCCGGTCCCTCTTGAGAAGGTCACTGAGGAAGCCGGCTTTGGGCGTGACGGTGAGGCTTTTGACCAACGGCAGCTTTTTACGCTCTGCGCCCAGAAGCCCCCCGTGCTTGAAAGTGCCGCCAAGCTCAAGAAGGAAGCCTTCAGGGAGGCCGCTCGCGTGGAGCCTTTGTGGCGAGTACTGCTGGCAAGGTCGCGACGTGCAGCCCGGCCGGGAGCGCCGGCACCTGTGTCCTTCCTGAGGACTTGACTTCACTGCTGGAGGCCTTGCCTGTGAGGTTTTTCCGCTCGCGCTCCCGGACACCAGACCTGTGCAAACCCGGAGCGTTGAACTTGTGGCCTGGCCGCGGCGGTGTCTCTCGTGAGCTGCTTCGCCAAGGCTGCCCCTGGGTTCTTGTGCTTGAGCCCTCCCAGTTCCCGAGTGGGGAAGCTGTGCTCCTGCAGCTTACCGAGAGAGGAGCCTTCCAGGCAGTGTTTGCAACCCCTCCAGGGTCGTCCTTCTCCCGAGCTCGGCAGCCTGTGCTCAGGAGCTCGACTTGCGTGCACGGCCTTAAGCTCCAAGACCCTTGGCAGGTTGAGAAAGTCGAGAAGGAAGGTGCGGTCAACGCGTGGGTTGCTGAACTTAAGAACTGTTGTCAGAGTTCTAGGGTTGGGTATGCCTTTGAGTGCCCGGATACCTCGCTGTGGTGGTCCATGCCTGGCTGGGAAGCAGAGAGACCAGCCTCCTCTGAAAGTGTGTGGCGGCTGGACTTTTGCCGCTTTGGGGCTCCCTGGCGCAAGAGAACCCGAGTCGCTACTAACACGGTCCTTCATGGGGCGCGGCTGCTTTGCTGCAATAAGGACCACTTCAGGCTTTTCGGCTTTTCGAAGGTGCACCAAAAACCCTGGACTTCGGTCGCCGACGCAAGGCCCCGTGGCTTTACTCGTGCCATCGCTGTCGCGCTGACCTCACACGCCGGCTGGAGTGCCGAACGCCCGCTTGACCCCCTTGCATGCGCTAAGCTGCCAAACTGCTGCCGTGCTGGTGAAGCGTCGAACCCCGGGCCGCGCGCTCCCCGGCCTCGCGACGCCGGTGTTGACCTCGAAGCCCAGCCGCTTTACTCCCAGACCTCTTCCTTTCTTGGCCTTCGTGCGTGGACTTCTTTCCTCGCCTGGTGCAGCCAGACCCTCAGCTTCGACCCGCTGCCGATGTTCCACTCGTGTCCCCCCTTGCTCGCCATGGCGCTGCGCTCTTTTGGAAACTACCTGTACCAGTCTGGAGGCTCGCTTCAAACGTACAGGTACGCGATAGTGGCTGGGCAGCGGTTGAGCTGGTGTATGCGGGGCCAGCTTGGCCCAGCGTGGGAGTTAGTCTCGCGCTGGGAAAAGCTCCAGCCCGTTCGGCACCGAACTCCGGTGCCTGAGGTTGTCGTGAAGAGTCTGGTCGTTTTGGCTTGGTGCAAGGGCTACAGACGCTGGGCTGCCTGTACTTTGGTGGGCTACTTCGGGCTCGCCCGAATAGGCGAGGTCCTGCGAGCTACCAGGGCGCACCTGCTGCTCCCCGCTGACCACTGCTCGCTGCTACAGGTTGCTTTTCTTCGGCTGGAGGGCCCAAAGTCTTCGGGGCGTGGAGGTCCGAAAGTGCAGCACCTGAAGGTGGACGAGGCCCTGGTTGTGGAGCTCCTGGCCAAAGCTTTTTCGAGCCTCGACGTCAGTGAGAAGCTCTACCCCTTTGGCCCTGCAGCGTACCGTTCCCGCTGGAACTTTCTGCTTGAACACTTTGGGCTGAAGAACCAGCAGGAGCTCACACCAGGCGGCCTACGTGGGGGTGGTGCGGTCTGGGCGTACCACCGTGGATGTGCGGTGGCGGACATACAATGGCGTATGCGTCTTCGCCACCAGCACACCTTGAGCTACTACCTGCAAGAAGTGGCGGCGATCAACTCCGTTCTGGCTGCCGGTGCGGACGCGCGTCACACTTTGCAGTGCACGGCTCAGCTTTTTCCGTTTTTGGTCGCTTCCCCTTGAAGGCAACCTCGCGGCCGTGCTTCGGCTTCAAGCTTGCAGTGGAGACGCGCCGCAAGCTTCTCTTACGGCTGGTACTGGCGCATAGGCGGAACAGCTGGAAAATCTGCACAGGCCTCTCGAGCTTAGCTTTTGCTGCTTCGCAGCTTTTTCGCTGAGCTCTTACGACCGGGGCACTACCAGCTGGACGGCTCTCTGCCTGTGACTTTTCGTGCCTGCGCGAGGAAAAACCGAGAGCCCGTGGTGAGTACGGAAGAGCTTCAAACATGGAAATGCACAGTGGCATCCTTCCACAATAACGCAGCGTAGTTTGCGCCTAAATTGCCAGTTACCACCATTGTGGAAACTACGTTGTGGTCTTCAACTCTACGCAGTTCTTAGAGTCTTCTTTTTTCCAAACACAACGAAGAAGACGATGTTTCTTATTCGAAAGTCTACGGAGCTTTTCCGACAACAATAAAAGAAGAACAAAAAACAAATCTCATGGTGGTATCATTTTGTCTAGTGAAGATCCCCACTCCGACTCCTGGTTCTGCCGCCCGTTCTGGGGTTCCGTGCAAGTCTACCAAGTTGTGTTGCTTTCTTTTTCTTTTTCAACTGCACAGAACACCAGTTTTGTTTGATTCTGAAACAGTGTCTCTAATTCAGGATTTTCTCTACTTGAAGCTAGTTGTGATCAGCTTCATTCTGCATGCAAGGCAAACCAAGAAGATGCTTGTGATTCGATCGAGTGGCACGTGGAGTGCTTCTTTGCTTTTCTGCTGAAAGTGTGTTGTCTAAAGGGCGCTTGCCACTCAAGATGCTGCGTCTACCATTTTTCGCTGGCAGCGCACGCAAAATAATTCCAGAGTTAAATCCAAAGTCTGATTGTTTGCAACGAATTACTTGAATTCCACGGTTCCCTTTCTTTGAAGCCGGCTGGAGCTTCAAATGCAAGTTCCTGCAGGTGTGAACGTCTTTGTCGGTGGATAGTCCAAAAAGGCAGACTCCAGTCACTGAGACTTGCAGCCGATTGTGCAAACAGCAATCGCACAGATTTAGAATGTTAAGACATGTTTTTGGTGCGAAGGAACAGCTTAATGCTTTGTTTGCATGCACTCAACTGTCTTTTCAACCACAGATATTGATTTTTGTGTGAAAGGATGACTGGGAAGATACTTTGGTTCTTTTTTTGTGAAAAATTGGAGTAGGTTGGAATAGTTGCATGTTCACTGATTGGTTTGGATTGCACCAAGAGTGAGCGCCGCAACAGGTGTTGAGTTGTTGAGAAGGGGTTTCGCATTTGATTGCACTCAGTCTTCACATTTGATTTGCGCATACTCCAAAGAGACATCATTTCCACAGTATGTCCTCTTGACCATGCTTGCACGAGGTTTTGCCCATGCAGGTATCCGGAGAAAAAGTTTGCATGTCGGATGCAGCTGATTTGTTCCGACTTTTGAAACGACCGCAACAACTGGCCGTGTATTCCGGTTCTTCTTGTTGTCCTTTTTTGAGACGACTGCTAGCCCCATTCAAATACGAAGCAACTCGCCAAGATGTGCGAAGTGCGGTCAGCCATCATGTGTTGTTGTTGGGTGGCATTCAGCCCACATGCCGTGCCATCATGCGTGCTGGATTGCCGCGCGTTATTGCCCAACAGCTAAGCTTGCCGCTTCATTGTGCTATAAGCTAGCTATAGGCTAAACACTTGCCTTCTGTTAGTTGCAAACTCAGCAAGAAGCCGCATCGGTTCCAGTTTCGCGGGACACCGCTGCATCCGAGTCGTGTTCTGACAGACACTAAAAGACACCTTTGTTTGCGGCAAAGCCTTAGCCCACGTCCCAGCTCCGACTGTTAATCGCGAGTTAATGCCCGAAGCGAAGCAACAGGCACGAGTCCTGCCACTCTGGACTGGGTTTGTGCTTCCTGTCCACGGCTTCAACGTAGCACTCTCTCATGGCTCTGCATGTTTCGGACGTGTCCGCATCCGTAGGCTGTAGAAGTGGTTTTGGCGGCATTTGTATCGTCTTCATGTTTTTAAGGTTGCATTTTTTGAGAGAGGCTTGTCAGGTCCTTGATATACAGCGTGCTGTCGCTAACCGTGTTGACAAGATGTCCCCGGGAGCCATGGCACCAGAAACGGATGCAAGCTGTGATGCTTCTGCTCCGCATGCCAGTGATCTGGAGGGCGACATGTTCTCGCCACGGCAATGTCCGTCGCTGCATGAGCTTGGCCTTTCGCAGCACTTGGTCCGGGCTATCAGGAGTCAGTTGTGGTAGCAGCGCATGTTTTAGAGTGTAGCCCTTGCCGTGCAAACCAGACTGCAGGAGCCTGTACGACAACACTGGTTCGTTGGAAAAGCGTCGGTGGTTGACGCGGCCAGTCCGACAGTACCGTACAACCCTTGGCGCGAAGGGCAGCGATGCCTTCGCTGGAGAGAGCTTGACCGAAAGTTCATTCGATGGCCGCTCGCCCATTTTGAGCAAATCTGTGAGCTGTTTCCGACGCGGACTCATCAGATCATCTAGGACCCAGGTCATGGCAATGCTTAGGTGATAAATATGGCAGAACATGAAAAGTCGGAATGCTAGAGCACGTGAGGTCAACTGGAGAATGTTGAAGCCCGAAGGCACGATTGAACTTGTGTTGCACATCGGTGAGTGTTCCAATGCAGTTACGTTTTCAATCCTGATCCATGCCACTTCCAGGCCATCTACACCGGTTGGCGGCTGTGTCAGCCGGTCTCGGTGCGCAAGCGTGTTTGCATGACGTCAAGTTTAGGCGGAACAAAAAAAATTTAAACGAAGGAGCAGTGCCTAGTTTGCTCAGATGCCCAGGGCTGGTAAAGGGAACCGTGCTAGCTGCTAGATGGATGAGCATGATCCTGCAACTCAGGTCCCGCACAGGCCACAGCCATAACAGAGAGAAGCTGCAAGCGGCAACGCGAGAGGAAGGCAACAATAGCCAGGGCAAACTAAGCGAACGATCAGCCGAAACTGCGGAGCCCATGGGAAGACGCTGCGTATTCAGGGGAGAGCGCATCTAGACCGAGGGGAAGCAAGAAGGGAGAATGCATTAACTTGCCTTGGTCCCCTCGCTCTCGCTATCCGACACACTGAACAAAATCAATCGTCCATGCATTGTTCCCAGCCGAGCCTACACGTATCTACAGCAACAAGACATGAGTCTGCTGGCAAAGGGAAGCAGGCCCTTGGGCGCAGCCAGACGCAGCGGCTCAGTCTGCATTGCGCAGCGAAACATGGTCTTGGCAGTGGCATTGACAAACATACTTGCGTGCAGGCCCTCCTCGGCATTTCGAGTTGGGGGTCCACCTGGGGTGGCTTCGAGGCGCAGTGGAAAATGGGTTCTTCCCTACCCCATTGCTTGTTCCAATTTCATGGTTGCAGTGCAGGCCTGCTTCAGCAAACAAGGTGTCGCGAGGACGGAACTTCCAGCTTCTACTGACGGTCGTTACATCTTCATCATGCTAGGAATGGGACCTCGCCTGTGGGCGCCAGGTGCCGCGACCTCAAAAGGGTGGCTCAGTGCTACTTGCGGCTGTGCAACCCTTTCACAGGAGTATGTCTGAGAAAAGCTTCTCAGGCACCATATGATTCGTGCCGATCGCGACGACCATGGCAGCTGGGTTGCTGTTGTTTCTGCCTCTCCATCTTCCGAGCAGGTGAACGTCATGCGTGAGCTTGTTTCTGGATGTCCAGACTTGCTTATCTGGCCTGTGTGTTGTGGCAAGGGACTGTCTTTCCGAGGTCTGCACGCAGTAGCCAGACTTCGGCTACTAGTCTGGGTGGGTCAACCAAGGCCAGTGCATGACTCTTAGACATATCTCTGCATTCATGACATTTCATGACGTTTCCTCACCTTGGGCATGTCAGGGGCTTGCTCAGTATATGCCCGAAGGACCAGTGTCCATGACCATGAACGGCATATTTTGCACCTTTCCGTTGCTGCGGGCAGGACAGGAGCCTTGTGGTGCATGCGACTGCACTGCGGCAGCCTCAAACCTTGCCGCACTGAGAGACAGTACATGGATTTGCTTTTGCTGGCGAAAGGTCGATTCCACCTGCTTCAATTGCATGTGCTCCATGGCGGAGCCGCCTCTTCTCCGAAGACAGGGGAGGACCGTACCGCAGCTGGTCTTGCTGAGACATAGTGTGCTACTCAGATAAACCGCAGAACTACTTTGTTCGCTGAGTCGCAGGAGACCCAGCGATTTGCTTCTCATGCATCGTTCTGCGAGTGCAAGGATCGCGGCTTCCTTTCTGCTAAAGGTTTGCGGGAACAGTCCTTGACTCGCCCATAGCCCTCATTGGCTTTCACTGTGTCCAGGCGTCGGCCTGCCTCTCGGCCCGCCGGTGTGACACAGGCAGAAGACTTCGGAACCCCCTCTGAGCCCCTTGCGTGGAGCTTGCGTGTAGACTTACCAGAAGTCGCGCACTAGCATTTGCTTGCCGCCACAACAGCTTGATTTTCTGCAGTATAGACTCTCCATCAACGATCCTAAATAAAGAGGAGCGGCCTTTCTCTTCTAGGGTGAGTTAAAGAATGTTAATGTTCTCAGATCTCGAAGATTATTGAAGACTTGCCATCCATGGGTGGTGTCATCACGACCTCGTCTGACAATTCTGTGCCGGTGCTCTGCCCGACGGGGAGGGCAAGCCACAGCTTCCCTTTGCGGGTGTCTGTGGAGGCTGCACGTGCCGCCGCTGCTGCGGCCATGGGCAGCGCCGTGCCTGCACTTGTTGTGGGATATTCAACAAGGCTAACCAAAGAGGCCGGCGCAGCCTCAATCAGGCTGCAGCTGAAGCCTGGACCCAAAGCATTGTACCGTTCCAACTTGAGCTCGGCAGTTGCCAGCTGCGCCACCGTCTCACTACGTGCAGAAGGGCGGCTCGGCTTTCTGGCTGGAATCGCCTCGGTAAGACGAAGGGAGGATGGCCTCTTTCTTGAAGCGGTGGTCTTCGGCCGCCCCAACGAAGTCTTACAAGAGTTGATGCCTCTGGACGAAAGCATCCTCGAATCGCTGTACCGAGTGGGTGCCATTACAGATGTTCGCTTTTTGCGAACTCTGCCTTGGGAGCTTCCGCCGGAGGAGCTGGAGGGCGTCCCTCGGCCTCCGACCGCGGAGGCGAACCCGGCGGAGGCCGCCTCGGAGGCCTTCCCGACGCGCTCGGCGAAGGCGGAGTGGCTGGTGGAGCGGCTGCTGTCGCTGGCTTCGACGCTTGAGTCGCAGTTTGGCAGTGCTCGCCACGATTCTGAAGCAACCTACGAAGGATGCGAGTTGGACAGCGAGGGAGTCGTTTCATGGCTCCGTGAAGCAGGGCTTCAAGTCACAGGGAACATGTTCATCGAGGCACGTTAAAAGGCCCACGTGCACGCATGGCCATGATTTGAGACCTGCAGCTGCTTTGCATCATCCATATGTCCATATTCATTTTGCTGCGAAGTGCACTCTCTGTCACTCTCTGACTCTCGCCCTCTCCCTCTCTCTCTCTCTCTCTCTCTCTGTCTCTCTGTCTCTTTTTCTCACTCATTCACTCACTCACTCACTCACTCACTCACTCACTCACTCACTCACTCACTGACACTATCTCTGTCTCATGCTTTGTCTCATGCCTTTTCTGGTTGTTTTGACCCGTTGTGACCGCAATCAGCTGGGCTAAGCCAGAGCCTGTAGCCATATTCGCCATGGAGTTGGCGGACCCAACGTGGTTTGCACAGGCGAGCTCTGCTCGAGCTCGACTTCCTTGGCAATGGCCTGCCCGCTGGCGTCTGGGGCACGTCCGGAGCAGCGGGAGCCTCGCGAGCAGGGCTGCGAGGCTCAGAAGTTGCTTGGCTCCTGCCATTCTGCTTCTTGCACGCTCTGCGCCTGCCCGGTCGCGAAGCACATCCTGCCACAGAAGTGCAAGACCTGCAAAGGACACAGCTGTGGACAGTTGCAAGCGTGAATTGCTGTACCTCGCAGCCGCGGGCAACAGATTTAGCGCAAGCCTTGCGGATCGCAAGAGGGCAGTGGAGCTCGTCGATACCTTGGCTCTAGACTTCAGGGCTGCGCAAGATGTGAACATGCGACGAGACTTGCTCAGAGGCCACTGGAAGTTAGTTTATACGTCTTCCCCAGACTTAACCTCTCTCAACACCTTGCCGCTGGGTTGGCAGACAGACCGAGTGGGACAGTCATTTCTGACTGCAAGTTTCGCAAGAAATGAGATAGATGTTTTGTCTCCTCTAGGTAGCAAGGTTTCCCAGGAAGTCAACTGCACGTGGAGGATTGTAACTCCGATGGACGACTCATTTCTCGTCGAGCTCGTCTTTCGCTACAGCACCACCCGGCTCGAGGAAGTGGCTGGACTGCAGCTGACGGTGCCTGCGTTGAACCTACCGCTCCCGCCGGGTGCTGGAGTTTTCGAGGCCAGTCGTGTTGCGTGTTGATTGTGCTGTGGAGTGAGCTGTGTGGAGTTTCCCATAGGTCGCTTTCGTTGACGACGACCTCCTTGTACAACGCACAAGGGTTGGCAATGCCAATGCTGCTGTCAATGTCTTGCTCAAAGAGGAATTGTGATGTGCGCTGTGAAACGATCTCCGCAGCATTGCACTTGTGACGACGTTTTTGTTTGGAAGTGCTTGTCCCAGTTCGGACAGATCAATGCGATGCTAGTTGTGTTGACCGGGTCCCATCGAAATGGAGGCAGACGAGCTGCAACCAGGTCGTGATGTACAAGCTCGCCAGATGAAGCAGGCCAGTTGCTGTGTAGCGAGTTGGAGGGGGGGTTTGCGTGACACCGGATTGGTCGAGGCTCGCATTCGCGACTGGTTGGCCAGGAAGGAAGCTGAGCTCGAGGTAAGCCTGGACCTCAGAAATGGCAGCAGGACAGGACCCCTGTCCCCTTTTGTGCGCATGCTCAGGACGTCGGCAAAGACAGGACGAGGTGGCCTACTTCGGGAATGGGAACTGAAAGCTCCAGCTCCTAGCAAAACGTGCCGTTAATGAAGGCATGCCAGCAACACAGCTGCACGCCGCAATGTTAAACTGTGCGGAATTTGTGGCAAGCACCTGTGCGGTAGCAAGAAAAATCGCTGCCTTGTAGGACATGTGTGTGTGTGTGTACAAGAGGCAGTACATGCGCACAGAGGCATACAAGTACAAGTCTTAGTGTGGCTGTGAAGAGCAAACAAGAGAAGAGCGTGAAAGGTGAGTCTGGAGATAAACCAGGAGATGTTGCAGCAGCAGAAGAAACAGATGGAGGTGTCGCAGAAGGACAGACAGGAGGCCCGGCCCGACCAGAGGCAGCGGGTGAGCAACTGGCTGCAGGCCGACAAAGTTCTTGCCCCATTCTCTTTTCAGGCAGAGCTGCAGCGCCAGCGCAGTGGTCGTCTCCGGTTTGCTGCGCGACGTCGCCAGGAGCCACCGAAGCGCAACAGAGTGTCTAAGAGTCTAAGACCCCTGATCTGCTGCCCTGCCGAATGTCTTGAAACAGGAGATGGACCTGGAGCTTCAACAGCACCGAGCTTGCCCTCTGTCTGCCCGTGAGCCGCGTGAGAACCGAGATTTCCAGGCGGGGCGGTTCCCATCTGTCCTAGTACAGCCTGTGCGCCATGTGCAGTTGGACTACTGTCTGCGGACATGATCGAATCTGTGTCGAGGCAGTGAAAGGCCGTACACTGGCTGCGTACGCAACGCCTCGACCTGGATCGCAGAGAAGGCTGGGACTTCCCTGGGCTGCACGATGCCCTCAGCAACTCGCCCAGGGAACGGCCTGGCAGCGCCCGCGCCGCGCTAAGGCCACGGCGGCCCTCCAAGAGCTGAAGGGACCGCCACCAAGACCCAGAGTCACCGCTGTCTCGGCACCGTGTCACCCGCTGGTTGTCTAAAACATGTGACAATCAAGGCCAAACCACCGAGTAAAAAGACGTTGCGTCCGACTGCCTAATCGGGCCTCCATCAGCAGAGCACTGACATGGCATCCGAATTCCCGTCTGTAGGATGGTTCGAGGTCGTTTGCCAGCGGGTGGGTTTCATGGGCTGCAGCTGAGCCTGTTGTGCTGTCGGCAAAGTGCAGCTGTCTCAGGCTCCAGGCAGGAATGTTTCAGGACAAATGTTCTTGACCTGAGCTCGCTGCACGGCAATCTTCAGGCCAGCACCAAGGGTTGCGGTGCCAAAGATGGAAGGAGTCGCCTAAAAGAGCTGATGAAAAGAAACAGGAGCACGGCACTGTTGCTGCTACAACGCAATCGCCCTCATGAGTTAGTAGGCCATCGCCAGGAATGGGAAGCATCAGGACATGAATGTAGCTGGAAAGCAAAAGTGCACTTTCAGCTTTCACCGACACAGCAAGCAGATTACGACACAGCTGAAGCAGTCGCAGTCATTTATTAGAGGGACTGTCGCACCGCCTCTCAGAGTCGACCCCCCCTTTCCCTCGTCAGAAAGGTTTAGCTGTTACGCGGCTTGCCTGATAACAACCATCGCAGTTTTTTCGCGAGCAGAGTCAGGCCAGTTGGCTACGTCGAAGACCGACGCAGCGAGTTGGACCATGGAGGTGCCGTGACCTTGAGGGTTTCTGGCGTTTATGGTGGGTGCGTACGAGGGGTGTATAAGGTGTGTATGTAGAAATAAGGGGTGCAGTCCTGTTCAGGTGATCTTGCTGGGCAGCGAGGGCCTGCCCGAGGGCTCGGTCCTGTCATTGAAGCCCGGAGCTCGAACTCCTAGTCTGATTGGAGGTCGCATCACGCCCCCTGCGTCAGGTGGGGCGACTTGAAGCGACAAGCGCCTGCCAGCGGCTGAAACGGGGTCAGTTCCGTCTCTCTGCTCGTGATCTCGAAAGCTCTCTGTCGAACGACTCAAGCCGCTGTACATTTCTGATTTTGGGCATGTCGCAGGAGCCCGTGAGCGTAAAATCAAGCCGATGCTCCAACAGATGCGAAAAGCCTGGAGGTGTCCCAAACAGGGCAGCACTTTCGCTTCAACGATTCGCCAGCGCAGCCGCTGCAAATGAAGGCGAGACATTGCGCGAGTGATGGCACCTTGTGACTCAACAAAAACATAGTCTAATGCCGAGGTGGAGGTGCTGACCCCGCTGGCGCCTGCCCAGATGGTCAGCATCGATCCCATGCAGGAGATCCCATGGCTGCGCAAGGGCGAGAGCAGGGCCGTGCCTGCGCCAGGAAACCTTCGAGGTTGCTTTTGATCCTCAGATGAAGGTGCCTTTCCTTATTCAGCCCGGATGTGCCACTTCGCAGACGGGCAGGTGCGGCTCCAGCAGCGGCCCGCAACGGAGCTTCAGCGCCCCGTGGCGAGGGTCCCAGGATGTCCCAGGTCGCAGGGTTGTCCCGCCTCCGATTTCAGTGAGAGTTTCGTCCCAAGGTCGACATCACTGCAGCGGGCAAAGGACTTCCTGCCGGGCCCTCGAAGTGCAATTTTCCCCCTCGTCGACCGCGACTTCTCTGCGAGTTTTCGCTCGCAGCACGTTTGCAGTCAGCTCTTTGAGTGGGGCTGCCCGCGTCCCCCTTGGCCAGCCTGTGGGTACATGGATGAAAGCAGCGACCCGGAGTTCAGTGGTGGGGTGGAAGTCAAGGAGAGAGTTGTGCCATGATCTGCACATCGAGCAGTTTCATCAGGTTCATCGCTTCATGTTTTCAAGTCGGAGTAGTGAACAATCATGTCCGCAACACGAGAGCAAATCAGGTCAACAAAAAATTTATCGCAGCAGCCCTGGGAAACTGGCTGGAGTGGTACGATTTCGGTGTGTATGCAGCGCTGGCCGATCTCCTGGGTCAGCACTTCTTTCCAGATCACGATGCATCTGTTCAGGTGATGCAGTCGTTTCTTGCTTTTGCTGCGGGCTACATTTCCCGACCTGTGGGTGGTATTCTCATCGGCATCATTGGAGATAGACTTGGACGCAAGTGCGCTTTGTGGCTGGACATAAACATGACGCTGATTTATGTATTGGTTTCGGATTGACCTTGTTTATCCTCTGCTGTCATTCTGGTCAGGTGGACCTCCATTCTGCTAATGATGTTTCCCACCTTCTTCATCGGTTGCTTGCCGACCTACCAGACCGCAGGCTGGCTATCAACCATCCTTTTGGTTATTCTGCGCTTGCTGCAAGGCATTGCCATCGGCGGTGAGTACGTGAGTGCATTGGTGTTTAGCATGGAGCACGCACCGGGCCAGAACAAGACAATCTCGGGTGCTTTGATGTCTGTCTCTGTTGCAGTGGGCACCTTCTCTGGATTTGGAGTTGTCGTGCTGATGCGTCATGCGCTCTCCGCTGAAGCCATGGCGAGCATTGGATGGAGAATTTGCTTCTGGCTCGGTTTGGTCGTCGGTATCGTGGGTATCTTCTTGCGGCGGCAGGTTGCTGATCCACGGGAGTTTATAGACGCCCAGCAGGCGGGGCAACTGTCGCAACCGATCTGGGCTGCTCTTTGGACCCACTTCCCGGATGTTTTGCTAATGATCGGCGTCGAAGCCATCACTCCTGTGACATGGTATCAGAATTTCATATGGATACAGCAGGTTTATGAGGGCACATTAACGTCTGCACCACCCATGCCCGGTGGTGCAGAGTTGAACACCTTTATGCAGCTGGCACCTTCCCTTTTTATGGTTGGCATCGCAGCATGCCGCAGTGACTTCAACTTTCTGACTTCGGTCCGCAGGGGCATGGCCTTGTTGGCTGCCCTTGCAGTTCCGGCATACCTTCTCTTCGACCTGCGAGTCTTTTGGGCTGCTTTCCTGTCGCAGTCCTTCTTGGCTATTGGAGGTGGCCTAATTGCCTGGGGCAATCCATACTTGATGCACAGTTCCTTCCCAGTGGACATCCGTGTCATGGCCATGGGGATCAGCTACAACCTGTCGGCAGCGCTGCTGGGAGGGCCCACGCCGTACATCTGCTCTCAGCTGGTTGTCCACTTCGGTGTCTTGTCCTGGACCTTTTCCTGAGTAATAAGGCCAGTTTGTTACACCCCAGAGCCGATTAGGGTGAGTTCATGTTCGTGACATTCAGCTGCAGTGGAGAAGGGGTGCAGGGTATAGGATATGTGGCTGAACAAAGCCGAGCATAACTGTTGCCGAGGAGTCCTGAGCGCATCGATTTGGCTTTTGTTTATTGCGAGCTTGTCGTACACCTGCGTCTGCCTGCTGCTTCGCCGACAAGGTCGGCAGGTTGCAGCCAACAGCGATGGCTTACAAAGCGTTATTCCTCGACGAATTGGCAACGCGGCATAGGCCACTCACCCCGCGATCTTGTCGACCTGGAATACATGCTGCTGCTGATGAGCGGGCCGGCAGTTTGAGGAGACCATGGCTTCCAGCAGGACCTTCTGATGCCAACAAGAAGTTGCAGGTCGACAGACCAAACAACGCAGCAAGATCCTGCGTCAAGATGTGCCAACAGGCGCTGTAGCTTCAGGCCAGTCGAGGCCCTCTGTGAACTTTGTTTTCACCGAAGCATCAAGTCTCAGTAGTGTTCATCAACATGCAGCAAAAACGGCATGACGCGGAAGTCGCCAAGTTTGCGCGCTCATGACGGATGGGGGAAGGACTATCATCATCATGTGAACGATTTCCGAGGCCAGCCGGATCCAGATGGCTCAGCAGGCTGCTTCATACCTCGAGGTGCGTTTTGCCTGAGGGTTCTTGCGAGAGAGAAACGTTTTGCAGCCCAGAGCCAGGAAGATCTCGGCCCAGACGTTAATCATAGTTTTATTTCATGCGATGCTCTTTGGACTACCCAGGAGCTCTGGCGTTGAGCCAAGGCTTTTGAACCCTGCCATGCCTGTGACTGTGGCCCCATGGAGACGTGCACATGCACATGTCGCGCACGCACATCTTGCACAAGTGCACGCACGAGCGACACGAGCACACCGTCTGAGCCGCATTGGCTGTTTGGCTGAAACCCTGGCAGCTGCTTATGTTTGTCGCATACAGGCGAGACGGCTTTCGACTGTTGCCATGATGTCAACAACTGGTGTTCATCAGCAGCACCTCACGAAGTGCGCCGAAGAGATTCGCTCAGGTGTGAAAGTAGTGCATGAGGCATATGAGCGAAGGATCTCAAGTTTGGTATCTGCTGCTGAGTCGGGCCACAGTGTGTCCTTTGCATCAACCTTTGGCGCGTTGGCAGATGCTGATGGATTTGCATCGCTTGCGTCTGTGGAATTGACTTTGCCTGCACTGGTCAGCGGCGATCCGGAAGCACGAGCAGCATCCGCCGCTGCCAAGAAAAGCCTCAGTGACATGTGGTCCAAAACTTACACGCGACCAGATCTCTACAAAATCTTGCATGCGGCCAAAGACTCCGCAGAGACAATGGAAGAGATTCGTCTGGTGACGGTGGTGTTGGAGAAATTTCGCCAGTCCGGCTGCGGACTGGCTTCCGAGGACAGGGAAGAGCTCGCGTCCCTGGATCGGCGCTGCAAGGAACTCGCCTTCCAGGCACGGCCCGAAAGAAAGATCATAGCCATGGGCTGCTTTCGCATTGTCTGGCTGGTTTTTTCGAGGTGGAACAGAACATCAACGAAGATTGCAGCTCGGTGGATTTGACTGTCGATGAGTTGTTCGGCTGCGAGGAGTCTTTCATCCAGAGCCTTCCGAGCGCACCCGGCAGCTCGCTGAAGCGCTGCTCCCTGAAAGCACCCGTTCTCGGTCCCATCATGCAGAGGGCGCACAGCAGTTCAACCCGCCGGCGCATGCTGGAGGCTCGGTCATCACTTCATCTCACTTCTGCGCTGGCAGAGAGCCGCCGTGCCAGGCGAGCCAGCAGCGATGCGAGAAGAACGGCCCACTCCTTGAGGCTTGAGTGCACCGGTGCAACGGAGAGCTGCGCGTCTTGCAGTGGCTTGCAGTGAGCGTCGAAAGCGGCGTGAGGAGATCCTCTCCTTGCGCCAGAAAGCCGCGGAGCGCCTCGGCTTTCGCTGCCACGCCGAGCGAGTGACCTCTCAGAAGATGGCCCGGTGCGGGGGGGTGGGGGGACTGGGCGCCTTTTTCGGGGCCTTACATGGGTCCCCTGCTTTCAGTTTTCTGTTTGTTCGGCGTCAGGCTGGAACGGCAGATGCTGTGCGACAGTTCTGCGAGGCTGGGCACGGCGAGGCACGGATGTCGGAGTTGCAGCGCCCTTGGCCGCGCTCAGGACATGCAGAGACGCCTGCGGCCTCTTCGTGATGCTGAGCTGCTGAAACTGAGCTCAAGGACTCTGCAAGAAAGCACATGTGCACTGCATTCTGTGTATTCCCGAACACGGAATTCATGGTAATTACCAAAGCAGCAGATCGGAGTTTCGAGAAGGACAAGGCCGTGGGTGTAACGGGTGCTGAGAGCGAAACGGGCCAAGGCTGGTGCCGAAAGAATCGCATCTAAGCGATCAGCAATAGTTAACTCAACATGTATGTGACGCAGGGGGAAATCAAGTTGGAATTTGCTGGAATCATTCGGTCCAAAAGATATCGAACCTCCTTGGACACAACCAATGGTGTGTCTTTGCAGGTTTCTTCTTGAGTGAGGGATCCAAGCTGACCTGCAACCGGTTAGCTCTACAACGCAGACAGCCTGCGCTGGGCAGCGCTTAGTGCCCCTTCAATTGCGAGCCGCATCCTTCCGTGCTTTGATCGGAAGATAAAGCCGGCCACCCCGACGGAGCAGTGCTTGAGGGATTCTGTGAGGAAGAGGTGACACGTTTACTTTAGTGGCAAGTGATAACCAAAGAAGAACAACATTTACTTCGACCGAGACAGTTTGTTTCATTTTTGTCCGAATTCCACCGATGTATTGTGCATCTAAAGAAACTGTGAAGATAATGGCCATGTTGCCCGACAGATTCCTGCTGAGTGAGTTGTGTGTTCCTCCGAGCAGTTTTGTGTGCAGACCTGTTGAGCTTGACTCACCGACGCCACGAGGGGCCCTTTGAGTCACGGAAAATAGCTTGCGAGCCCGAAGCCTCCGCCGTGTTTCGATTTACATGGCAGCGGAGCTCTGGTGACGGCCAGGGACTCGACACGTCTACCCCGTGGGGCCGGTCGGACGCGACCGTGAGCTCGAGGCCCGGGGGTCCAACACGTACACGTTTCTCCCGTGCGGAAAGGGCATCTCTTCGCGATTTTGTGTACACCGAGCCTGGGTACCGGTTTGCTTGGTGAGTTTTGTTTGGAAGCCGACAAGGCTTGGGTTGCCAGGACCTTCCTGGAACGATGGCTGAGGCCGAGACTTTGGCTACGGGTGTGCCGAGAACGGCAGCGACGACAGGACCGGGCGCCATTGGCTCCCGAGGGTCCTCTCCTTTACGGGCGCGGTCACCGAGGACGGTGCCGTATGCGAGTGCTGGGCTGGATGGTTCTCAGGAGTCAGCTGGCAAGAAGTACCACGACTACAGGGTCGAGCCAGCACCTTCGTGGGATGGAGAAAATCCTGAGACCGAGTTCAGACAGTATTCGAGAGCGCTGAAGTTGTGGCTGATCGAAGCTGAGGCCCGGCTTCCGCCGAACCTCATCGGCAAGCGGATCATGGATGTGATCCCTTTTGGGTCAAGATTGGCCGCTTTGCTAGCTCAGCTGTCGATAGATGACATAACTTCGGAGACCGGCTACCAGCACATCCTGAAGATCATCGAGGACAACCGTGAATATCTTCGAGACATGAAACTGGAGCAGTCCTTTGAGCAAGCGATCTTCAGGGGAAAGCGTCGGCCAGATCAATCGATCTCAGGTTTCTTGGCCTCGAAGAAGGCCGCGTTCAGTGAACTTCGCCGCCAAGGCTTGGACCTGTTGGAGACCCAGGCCGGGAAGCATTTGTTGGGGCACCTGCTTTTGAAGCAGGGACATTTCACTGAGGACCAGAGACAGAGGATCAGGGTTTTGACAGATGGGAGCATCGATTTTCAGAAGGTGGAGAGCGCTATTCGGAAGCTGTTCAGTGATAACCTGGAGGCGCCACTGGGGCGAATGGCCTGAGGATGGTGCTGAGGATGAAGATCAGGGCTACTACGAGGACACCGGCTACCAGGACTACTTGGCCGAGGAACCGGGCGAGGACATGGACATGTTCGAGGATCTCCTGGAGTTCGACGAGGAGGGCCAGGCGTACATGGTCTTGGAGGAAAGCTTGCCCCAGATGATGGACGAGGCCGATGCCGTGGAGCTGGCTGGCTCTTACCTTACCTTTGTCTTCTACGAGGCTGCCGATAGACTGAAGGGCAAAGGAAAAGGCAAGGGCAAGAGTTCTGGCAAAGGCAAGGGCAAAGGCTTCTATGCTGGGAAAGGACGGAAGGACAGTGGAAAGGGGCGCCGTACTCCACCTGGGGTGTTCGGCGTCTACGGCAGCTACCTCGACCACAGAAAGGCCTTGCAGGAGGCCAGGTCAGGCCGTGGATTTACTTCCCCGAGTCACCGACCTGGGGGCTTCCGCCAAGACAGCCGCCCCCGCATCTCCTTGGCTGAGCTCAAGAGCAAGACCCGGTGTCACCAGTGCAAGCAGCTAGGGCATTGGTCAAAGGAGTGCCCTTTGAGACGCAAGCCGGCACCTGTGCAGCGAAGCTAGCCAGCCGAGTACCGCGATGTTCTTTGCAAGTCCCGGGCCACAGGGCAGCCAGGGCGGTGACGATGGATTGGTTCCGATGTGTGGACAATACATGCCTGCAGGGGACCTGGGTGTCGCTAGTCAAGGGCCGGGTTTCCATGTCAATTTGACTTACCTGAGCTACACGTTTGCATCTTCAGTGGACTTGGAGGGGCATGCTTTAGTTGACACGGCAGCGCAGCATGGGTTGATCGGGGCTGAGACTCTGCAAGTACATGATCGTCTCTTGAGAAATCGTTTTGGTCTATGTGTGCAGTACTCACAAGAGACGGGAGGCAGTGTTCGTGGGGTCTGTGGTTCCGAGCAGGAGACGAAGCTAGCGTTCATTCCCATGGGCTTGTGTGGCATGTCAGGTGTGCTTAAAGTACAAGTGGTACCTGGTCATGTACCGTGTCTTCTACCAGTCTACCTGCTGACCGCCATGGGCTCTGTACTTGACCTCCCAAGCCTTCGCATGTACTACACTCGTAGTGGTGCTGTTCAAGAGCTGCATCGAAGACCGACAGGACATGTGTCTGCTGACATCACTGAGTTTGGCCCGAACTTCCACATACCGTGCTCCTATCGGTTCCAGAACAGCGAGGTTTGGTGTAGCCGTGCAGGGATTGAATCTTCCCCGGAGCTTACCGTGCTTCATGCTGGACAAGTTGCCGTTATGCCTCCGACGCTGGCGCCGCTGCTTGCTGCGCTTGGCATTGGCTTACGGTGTGCAGATGCTTACAATGTTGCACCAAGTTGTGCAGCAGCCCCGGCTCAGGGAGACCGGCATACTGGCGGCCCGTCGCGAGCGCTTGGAGATGAGAGCCCTGGAGCTGCACCGGGAGAGGCCGCCCTGATGGCGGCAGCTGGAACAGGTGGACCGGCGAGGCCGCGAAACTTGGTGCCAACCGACGACCAAGACCTTCGGCGACCTTTTGTGGAACATCGGGGCCAATCAAAGTTCTTAGCCCCGGTGCTGAGGACCTCTCCGACGTGCCAACACACTTCGACGAAGCATGGAGCGAACGCACAATGGTCATGGACAAAGTGCGAGACGTGTGGCAGTACGGAGATGGTGCCAAAGTTGACACTGGACCGCCTGACAGAGTGGAACAGCATCCTCGTCCACCAGAAGCCGGACTATGTGACCCCGCAGAAGAAGAAGGACGATGCGAAGAACAAGAAGGAGACCGCCGGCAACTAGGCAAAGTCGTCTTCGGGAACACCGAGGTCCATGAGTATCACATCCCGAGCCACGAATCCGATGTCTTCGCTGGAATCAGCAGCAATGGCCTTCAGGGGCCAGGCACATGCGATGTACACCCCTCCGGTGTCATCCGGGGAGGATGTGACCTCGGACCTGGAGATGGACGAGGTGGCGCTGATCCGGAAGGATGTTCAGAATTGGGAGAAGGAGGTAGACAACCCGATGTGGACTCAGGCCTGCCCTCAATGCTCGGGAACAGTCCACTTGATGTGGGATGCAAGCCGGCACGGCTATCTTTGGCAGTGTCGGAAAGGAGCGGCGAAATGCCCATACCCGTGGGCAGACCTGGAGGAGCAGATTACCCCAGCCTTCGGGACCCGACTCTGCACGGAGTGTCAACAGGATGGCCTTGCGAAGGTGAATGTGAACGGGAGATGGGGCTGGAAATGCCCTCGATGCAAGGACTTCACCCTGGAGATGGACTGGCCAGCAGTCATCGCGGACTTCCTGCACAACGGGGGCTACGATCTCGAGAAGACGCATGCGGCGTTCCGCGAGCCTCCAACCCGGACCAGCGGGGCCATGGGTTCCAGTTCGTTGGCTGGCTGAAGGAGCCAGGCGTGACAGATGATCTATCACTCGACCCGACCGAGCTCGAAAGACATCTCGATTTGAGCAGGACAGTGGTGCTGTGGCATCACGGGAGCTCGGTGCCAGCACAACTGGGAGTTACTCAGGAGTCCACTGGGAACTCGAGTACTTGCGACGAGGTCCGGCAAGAACTCTTGGAATCTCCTTTCGATACAGAAGGGCAGCTCTGCTGAGTATGACCTGGGTGGTGAGTTTTCCGTGCTGGTGCTGCAGGAGCTGGACCAGGATTTCCTGGGATGTGTGGAGGACCAGAGTTATGACCCGATCGAAGTGACCCTCACAAAGAATGACAAGAAGATCCCCATGAAGTCCCTGGACAACCTGAACTTTGGGGACGAAACCTATTGGGACATCCTGGAGGACCCAGAGACCTGGAACGGAGTTGCCGGGGAACCTGTCTCGGATCATGAGCTATCACCGGCGATGCCAAGTGTTCTGGCTACCACCTCCACCACTACAGCGACCACCAAGAACAACAAGCAGCAAGGAGTGCAACGACCCAGGGTACCTCCTGCAGCAGACATCATCGAGCGCGGCCGCACCCAGTATGACCGTCTTCCGTGCAGTTTCGAGATGCACATGTGGGTTCGAGACCTCCGGGAACTTGGCCTCAAGCTGCTTTGGCATGAGTATTTCGGTCAGGTTGTGGTCATCAGCCTCGAGGCAAAAACAGTTCTACTACCCAAGGTCGGGCCCGGGGCTCGCCCGATGCGTTGGGCAGCCTGTTGCAATGGTGACCACCCGGAGGAGTGGAACTGTGTCGAGGAGAGGGTGATGGGTGCCTGGAACCCTCGAATCCGGAACTATGAGAAGGTGATTGTCTTTTACAGGTGGCCGGTGCCACCAACCACCAACCACCATGCGCATGTGAGCACCACTGACATCACGAACCAGGAGAAGGCTGCTGTGATGCGCTGTCACGTGAACTTGGGTCACCCACAGATTCGGGAGTTTGTTAGACTCCTCAAGGCAGCCGGGGCCCGGGAAGACATCATCAACTACGTTCTCAAGGAATTCGATTGTCCCGGGTGTCGAATGGAGAAGAGGCCACCGACCAGACTACCAGCAGCAACGCCCAGAACATACGATTTTAACATTGTCGTGGGGGTGGACATCCTCTTCGTCCACAGAGTGAACAACAAGTTCGAAGATCCGGTTCTCAACATCACGTGTTGGGGAACCTTGTACAGCACCTTTGGCTGGGTGGATATGAAGAGGTGGACCGCCGAGCTTGCCTGGACCGCGTTCACCAGGCTCTGGATTCGGACCTTCGGCGCTCCCCAGTACCTCGTCTATGACCAAGGCAATGAGTTTGTGGGCGCACGGTTCCAAGAAGGACTTGAACAACATGGGATTTGCCCCGTGGTCATCAATCGTGACGCGCCTTTCGAGAATGGCGTCACGGAGAGGCGAGGGGGACTCTTCAAGGATGTCTACTACAAGACTCGTGAGATGGTGCAGCCACAAGATGTGAGCGAGATCGAGACGCTCATCTTTGAGGTGTCATGGGCACTTCAGACTTTGGTGAACCGATCGGGCTATTCACCGGCCCAACGAGTTCTCGGGCGCCAACCTCAGGTGGGCTTGGAGACCCTGTCCGACCAGGGTGAGTATCATCTGTCGACCACGCAGGACCGAGCGTGGGCGAGGGCAGAGCGAATGCGACAGGCTGCCAGGGAAGCTCTCGTACAACTGGATGCACGTGAACGACTTGCACGAGCTCGACGAGGACGACCCCGGCGAGAGATCGAGAGGCTTTCTTTTGCTGAAGGCGAGCCTGTGATGATATGGCGTCAAGGGCGCAGGGGTTCACTTGCCAAAGTGGGACCATGCTTCGTGGTCTTGCAACGGGACCACACAGTCTGGGTGACACGGCGTGGCGAACTGCTGAAGTGCCACATCTCTCAGGTTTTCCCCATGGGCAACCTGGAGAAGCAAGGGCTTGAGATGTTGCCACTTGATCTACTACAAGCAAAGGAGCAACTTCGCTACGGAAGCGAGAAACTGCCCTACACCGATGTGACCCAGGAGAACCAGCCCGAGGCAGGCGGGATTGGAGATGCGATCGATCCCCAAGGTCCTGAAGGACCCCCTGATGGAGGCGAAAATCCATCAGCACCACAAGTACTACCAGTCGACGAAAACCCATCAGAACCACAAATACTACCAGTCGACGAAAATCCCTCAGAACCACAAGCACTACCAGTCCGCGAAAATCCGTCAGAACCAGCACTACCAGTTCGTGAAAATCCGTCAGAACCATATGCACTACCAGCTGGAGGGGGTAAATCGTCAGATCCGGCATCTAGGTGTCGGAGGGTCCTGGTGGCAGTTCGTCTAGTTCGAGCTCATCGTCTAGCGAATCAAGAGCAGCTCTGCGTCTCCCAAAGCCAGGCCAGCAAAGATGCCAAGGGCAGCTGAGTGGCCACCCCACGGAGATGGGATCCAACTAAGGCGATGGAGCAGGGTTGATGGGAATGCCAAAAGGTTCCGCACTTCTATGTCGACAGGACCTCTCTGGAGCGACGTAGTCCAGAGAATTACCATCAACCACGACACTGGCAAGGTGATCTGCGTGGAGGATGTAACCGGGAAAGAACAGTCAAAGCACCTTCACCGTGCACTTCCCGAAGGTGTGAAGACCATTCGCACCATTCTGGTGTACAAGAAGATGGCTGGACACCCAGATCCAGGGGTTTCCTACAACAGCTCAGAAGACAAGCCACCCGCTGATGAGGATGAGGATGGCCGTGTGATCAGGCGGATCAAGAGGTCTCTGGCTGAGGCGACCGAGGGTGACGATCAGCCACTTCAGGGAGATGAACCACCACCACCGCGATCGAGAGTTTTCGGTGTTTGGGTGGCGGACAAAGTGACTGAGTGGGGCGACAAGTCACGTTTCCCCGTGATTGCCAACTCACGTGACCTGGACCTCTTCAAGAAGATCGTCAAGAGCGACACCTTCTACCTGTACTCCGAGCTCCACTCCGGGTGGATATGCCTCACGAAGAAGAGTGGCAAGGAACTTCAAGAGCGTCTGCTCACCGAACAAGAACGGAAGCTCTTCAGGGAAGCTAAGCTGCTCGAGGTCCAGAACCTGGTGGCTGGGAACGCCATCGAGTTTATCACCGATCCTGAAGAGATTGCGAGGGTCCATCGCGAACTACCTCATCGAGTGATGCCGAGCAGGTTCATTATCACAAAGAAAACGCAGGAGATCAACCAGGCTTGGAAAGCCAAAGCACGCTGGATATTGCTCGGGCATCGCGACCCCGACGCTCTCAAGGTCGAGCGACACGCGCCGACACCAGCAACAACTACCGTCTATATGACGTTTCAGATCATAGCCAGTCTGGGCTATCGACTGACGATAATGGACGTGACTTCGGACTTTGGCCAATCCGAACCGGAAGAAAGAGCAGATGGACCACTCTATGCCACGATGCCACCGACCGGCATCCCAGACATGGACCAGTCTTGGTTGATTCGGGTCCGTACGGCAGTGTATGGGTTGGTCACGCTCCAGCCTCATGGAGAAGAACAGTGAAAAGGTTTCTGCTTCAGTTGGGCTACACTGAAAGCTCCTTCGATCCCTGCCTTTACTTCTTGAAGTTCACCAGCGACGAAACCACCGAGCCACCACAACGCGGATGCGCTGGAGTTGTGTTGCTGGATGTGGATGATTTTGTGCAGGGAGGCAATGCTCGACATCAAGAAAAGATGCAGGAACTTCGAGAACACTTCCGTTTTGGGAAGTGGAGGGACATATTTCTGTCACATGGTGAGTACCTTGGAAGAACGGCGACACAAGCCGCGAACTTTGAGGTGACAGTCTGCATGTCCCGCTACATCAAGGAGAAGCTTCGACCGATCGTATTACCTCGTGGCCGAGCCAAGGAGGAGGACAGCCTACTGGACGAGAAAGAGGTTTCTCAACTACGAGGAGCTGGCGGCTCACTGCTGTGGGTCGGAAAGGAAACTCGTCCTGACATGGCGGCGGCATGCGCTATGGTGCTTTCATGGGACAAAGAGGGGCCCAGGGTTTCACACGTGAAACAGGCCAACAAAGCGATCCAGGAGTTGCAGAAGACCGCCGATGCGACGCTGCGCATCCTTCCTATCAGTCTGGAACGTGGTTTCTGGATGTCAATCTCCGATGCCTCGGTTGCAAATGATGGGAGCAAATCGCAGGGCGGCTTTCTCATCGCCTATGCGGACAAGGAGATTGTGGATGGAAGGCGTGCAAACTTCAGTATAAATTCCTGGAGGTCTCATCGCCTGCGCAGAGTGGTCAAGGCAAGCTTGGGTTCAGAAGCTCTGGCTATGGACGACGCACTGGCAGAGTTGGAATGGGTGCGAGCCCTTTTCAGCGAAGTGTGCATCCCGGGGACCACAGTCTATGATGGTACCAGGCTCTCAAGTGATGAGAGTGTGGCAATGGTTCGCCAATCTGACGAGAACGAGACAAGCATCACCATCACGGACGCCCGGGCCCTCTACGACCTCTTCCACCGCCGGAGCGGATCAGCTGGCCTCGACCGTCGTGCCCAGATCGACGTTGCTGTTATGTGCCATAGTGCTCGACTGCTCAATGTGAAGGTTCACTGGTTGCCTGGACACTACATGTTAGCAGATCCCCTCACCAAACGGTTGGGGAACAGTAAACTGCTGTGTGGTGTCATGCGAATGGCTAAGTACGCCATCAAAGAAGATGCTCTGAAGAGCCTTCTGCAGGAATTGTCGGAGGAACCCCCTGATGGATGTGAAGATAATGGCCATGTTGCCCGACAGATTCCTGCTGAGTGAGTTGTGTCTTCCTCCGAGCAGTTTTGTGTGCAGACCTGTTGAGCTTGACTCACCGACGCCACGAGGGGCCCTTTGAGTCACGGAAAATAGCTTGCGAGCCCGAAGCCTCCACCGTGTTTCGATTTACAGAAACCTTGTTTTGCGATTGTCCGCCCTTGGGACTGGGAGCATCCTGATGCGCCAAAGTTCAAGAGTCTCGAGTGCCTTGGGTCCCTGCAGAACCTTCTGGGAGTGGACTCTCTGATGCCATGATGCCGGCTTGTTTGGTGGAGTGTACAGCAGAGGAGCTGCTCTACATCGTAAATTTTAAATGGACGCTTTCACGTGTTCTCGTGCCCACTGACGGTGGTCTTTCAGGGGCTGTTCCGGGGTGAAAAAAGTCAGTCCTGACCCTCCTATACACGCTTTAGTTTCTCCTACCGAGCGCAGAGGAGCTTCTCGAGCCTGAGCTTTCTCACCCAACTACGGAAGCTAAGAGCGTAGCATGCCCAGACCCCAGCTCCCAAACGCACTCCAAAGTCGCCTCATGGACTTTCTGAAGCCAGAACTTGGGAAAGTAAAAGGTTTGCTGTAAAGCTCCAAGCCAGCTTCTAGGTGCACTTTTGGCCCCAGGCGCTTCGTACAGTCGTGCTAGAAAGGCCCAAGAGAAGAGAAGAGGAGCAAAGCTGCACGCCAACCGACCTTGTGATATTCTCGACATCAGGCTGCTTCAGCAATCCGAGCGTTCGTGAAGCTGTGAAAGCATGACCAGAGACTCTCCTGTCAGATCTTCGCTGTGCTGCATGTGTTGTGAGCTTGCCGGGAACCATGATGTTTAAACAAATTTTCGTCGTGGTCCCACTTGTGAGGAAGCAGCGCCAAGACGCAGATCCCGAAGCTTCGAGCCGGAAGCGAAGGCTGGATGAAGCAGAGCCTTGTCAAACTGAGGCAGATCCTTGTTAAGCAATACTTACCTGTTGGAGTCAAACGGAGGCAGATCCTTGTTAAGCAATACTTACCTGTTGGAAACAGAAAGCGCGCAACTCAGAACAGTGTAGAAGCAGCATCAACTGTGCGGGCCAGTTGACGGATCGCCGAGGACAGCCCAGTTGTACATTGCTTGGATGCCTGGGACGTGTCTTACTATACTGACCTCTTGCAAAGGGAGGAGTTGCACCTGGATGATGCGAAAGTCAAGGAGTTTTTTCCACTAGAAGGAACTATTCAACGCATTCTTGAAGTTTATTCCGAGCTTCTCGGTCTGAAATTCGAGCGCAACGCCGGGTTGCCTGTGTGGCATGAAGAGGTCGTGGCTTTTGAGGTCAAGGAGTGCAAGTCCGACAGGCTTGTCGGACATCTATATTTGGACCAGTTTCCACGTGATGGGAAGTTTGCGCATCAGATGATCCTACCCCTCGCACCAGGCTTCACGAGCATTGGAGAGGAGTGCGTGAAGTGCGTTCCGGCTTGCGTGAACATCTCGAACTTAGCTCGCCCGGAAGGAGGAAGGCCGGCGCTGCTGCGGCTCACCGAGATGAAGACTTTGTTTCATGAGCTTGGCCATGCCATGCATTGCTTGTGCACTCAGACTCGCTTTTCTATTCTCTCGTGGGCCTGGCCGATGGTGCCTTGGCCCGGTGGAGTCGAGCAGGATTTCTTGGAGGTGCCTTCCATGGCTTTGGAGAAGTTCGCCGGCGAGCCCTCCCTGCTCCACCGAGTGGCCCGGCATTTCTCAGGAGACGGAAGCAAGCTGGATGCAGCAGCTATCGAACAGATCCAGAAGCTGGAGAGGTTCATGGCAGGCGCATAGCAAACCCAATAAGTCCTTTTTGTTAACGCTCCTCGCTCACCGTCCACCTCGTCGGCCCGGCAAAGACCGCGGAGATGTCTTCAGTTTAAGATTGCAGGAAGATTTAAGGCATATTCTCAAGTGATGAGCGTTTGTCAGGCCCTACAGTCGGAATCCTTAACTGCGAACCCTAAATCTTGCTATTCCGTTACCGTGGCAGGCACACAGGAAAGCCGACTTATATCCATGTCCATGATCGATCTGTTGCTGCACTCGCAAGCTCCTCCCTATTCTTTCGATGGGAAAGCTGGGCTCTCACCACCCGAACTGTATAGGTTGGTTGTCGAGAAATGCACATCCTTGAAGCAACTGCCGAACACGAACTTTTGTGCATCCTGGTATCATCTCTACATCGGTTATGATGCTGGAGTGTACGGCTATGCCTGGAGCGACGTGTTTGCGGTGGATATCTTTGAATCCATGCGGACCTGCCAGACCGGACCACTTAGCGCGGAGACGGGTGAGCGGCTTCGCTCGCAAATCCTCGAGCCGTGCGCGACGAAGCCGGGATTCGACATGCTGCGTGGTTTCCTGGGACGGGAGCCTTCGGTGGATGCCTGGTGCCGCTTCAAAGGCATCCAGTGAGTTCTTGAAGGTGCAAAAAGCTCTTCACCGTGCTGCACAAGTCTGTAAATCCCCGGGAGTCATCTGGAGTGTGTTGCTTTGTCGCCCATGCAGTGTAGGTAGAACAAGGCATGGGGCATGCCCAGTGGAATGGGTTTAGTTTCAAGTTCGGGGACACAGCGTCTGTTGAGACACTCGTCTTACGATTCGCTGGCCAGGAGCATGATCTGGTGAGAACCTTCCAGGACGTCAAGAGTAAGACTGGTGCCGACTTGATTGTGACTCCAGAAAATCATCGTTTCCTCATGTCCGGCTTGTCATGGCTCTGGCCGAAGTGAAGCATGCAATGCAGGAGCTGCTCTACGGACTCCTTGTTGCCAAACCTGCAGATCCTCACAAACATGTGCAGGCCAGCAGAAAACTTCGTAGCTCGTCTTTACTACTTGCTGCTTGCTCCTAGTTGTGCTTGACCAGGAGCACCTGTCCAAGGCACGAAAGCTTGCAGCCCGACACTTTGGTCACAGCTGGCTCAGCATGCAAGATAGCATCTCACTCTCCCCAGTGCGAAGAGTATTGTGCCCTCCGATGCATCGCAACTTGCCGGACGTCCCTTCAAAAGCTTCCTTGTATGATCTTACCTGCATGCTGATGCTCGAAGGCAGCGCTGATTTTTGATAGCGAGGCAACTCTTGTCATTGTTGTAGGTGTCGGCGATGGCATACAGTGGAGCTCAAGGCTATGCTCGCATCTCCTCTGATTCCTGTATTTACAAGCGCAGGCAGGTCCCAAGCGATGACATGGATCCCCACTTTGCCATCGTAGGGCTCGACGAGAGGGATATTGATACCGATGAAGATCGTGAGCATGGCAAAATTTGTTCCCCCTTGTACCGAGTAGCGCGTGGAGGAGATGACAGCGATGCAACTGATGAAGGGCCATCTCCGGCCAGGATTTCTCACAAAGTTCCGAGCAAGAGGAGGGAGCTCTCGAAGCGATCCGAGCTGCAGCGCTACAAGCTGACGAGGGAGCTTTCCACGACATGGACGGTATCTCCCTCGGTTGACCTTTTCTGTTCTAAAACTCCAAACTCGTTCTTGTCTTTAGCATCTGGAGATTCGAGAGTTCGGTTCCATTTCTCGTCAGTCAACAAAACTACGCACGGCTTTCATGCCTCCAAGGCACCACCACGTGTGCTGTGTGTGACCCGTCGACACCTTCGAAAGGGAAAGTACGTAGACTTCCTCGGTGAGTACCACCTGGACCTGATTCAAGAAAACGGGGGTGCCGCCATCATGATCCCCCGAACTGCCTTGACAGTTCCTGCGCTGGCCGAGTACTTGCCCATGGATGGCTTGCTCGTCGTGGAGGGGAACGACATATCCGATGAGGTCCTGAACAAGTATGGCCGGGGCCCTGGCACACCATGCGGAGTGTGGTGCAGCCTAAACCCAATGCACCAAGCGCGGACTGTGGGGGTCTCAAGGCGGTTGAGCACTGAGGATGCTCTGCTCCAGACCGATTGGACGGAGAGGATGCCATGAAGTGGGCCAGCGACACCGAGTTCGTGGCTTGCCAGCACCAAGGCAAACAGGGTCAAACTACGAAATCTCCCGCAGCCAAGGACGTCCCGAAGGATCAGCTGGAGTTTGCATTGATGCGTTTGGCCCTGGACTCCGGCTGTCCAATCCTTTCCCTCTGTCGTGGCTCGCAGATGCTCAATGTCCTGAGAGGTGGGACACTGATCGGGGACATTGAGAAGGAGTGGCCCGATAGAATCAGCACCTGAAGCTGCGCATGTCCAGGGCCGGGGGTGCAAATACCGTGTAGCAGAGTAACCAACTCCGAAAGAAACTCGGAGTGACAAGGTTCAACGTATGAAGCTTCTGAGAGGATAACGTGGGTGTCGAGCGCGGGCATTGCCACTTCTTGGCATCGGGCGGCGACTCAGCATTCGATTTTGTGATCGTTGCAAAACTAACGAATTAGATGAAACATATCATCGTGGAGCGAATAGCTTCTCCAAGCGCAACGACAACTTTACCGTGAACACCGCAGCAAAACGCCAAAACAAGCAAGCAAGCAACTCAAGCTGCGCATCAACAACCATGTTGAACTACGGAACCTCTAGCAAAACTAGGCCTAGAATTGAATTTGTACAAGATGCTGATGAGTCGAACTCTTCTGAAGCCAATTTCTTCTCCAGCAGCGAACACTTCCACAGGTCCATGGTTCAATACACCCGAGCCCATGCTCAGAGTGATGGCAATTGCCCATCCCTCCTCGTAACACCGGCCCCTAGAACTCAGCGCTTCTGAGCATGCAAAGTTTATCAGCATACAGTCTCCTGTATTGATTCTTGGTAATGTGACAATGTGTCTGTAAGTACTCTGCGAAGAGGGCACAAACTTTGCAACCTGTCCTTTTGATTTCCCAAACCTAGCAATGCTCGAACTTGTTTCACACGATAAATAAAACCGTACCAAAATTTGAAGAACAAATGCAGCTGTCGAGCGAAAGTACTGGCGAAAACTCGTTCGACAAACCTGAACAGACAACTGGATGAACAAGCCAAGGGCTTCTGGAAACTGTTGTTGTCAAACTGATTGCGGCAGTAGTGTATACCCTGTGGAGGAGGTTCCAAATGCAGTTGTGCATCTCAAGGATGCCAGTGATCCAAGCTACGACAGCCACCGTCATCCCATCAGAGTGTTGCCAAACACTCCTCTTGCATCCTGGTTCGACAAGACCCTTATTGACACCGACGAGCTCAGTGTGAACTCGTATCATCACCAGGGAGTGCGCACCTTGGGAAAGGGTTTGAAGCCAATGGCGTACGCTCCTGATGGGGTTCTTGAAGGATTCTTTGACGAGCAGTACAATCCATCGAAGGGTCGCTTCATGGTCGGTTTGCAGTTCCATCCTGAGCGCATGATGGATGACTACCCTGGATGCAAAATCGTCTACGAAGACTTCTTGACGGCTTGCAAGAACTTCAGGAAGTCCAGAAACTTTTAGATTTGAAGACCGGGCTTGTGGGTGGCCGTCAGTATGTACAGCTTTCCTGATCAGTGCTTGTGGCCTGATGAATGGTCAAACAACTTCCGTGGGCCAGGTTATGAGAACTGACTACTCGGGCTGGCATGGAGCTTGCAGCCATGGAATGCATGGTTGCGCGTTTGAAGTGAAGCCACCAAGCTTGTTTCGAGCGCAAGTCTGTTTCACAAAAGCACAGCATCACCATCGGAAGAGGCCCAAGGCACTCCCTCCTTGCTGTGGGCAGTGCCGCCGTCATTGTGCTTAACGAGTGGTTCGCATCGATACACGAGCGGCCGATGCGAGATTTTGCCCTTCTCCTTCGACTTCGTAGCAGTGACCTTTGTGTGCTGATCTATTCTCATCTTATTGCACTTGCGCAGGAGTCATTGGTGACATTGATGTAGATGCATTAGACTTGAGGGGTGGTTGGGCAGCCGAATGCAAAGAAGCGTAAAGTTTACCGAAGTCCCACTCGTGGAGCTTCTGAGTGGGACAAGCATGCCTAATTAGCTGTGGCGGTGATGCCCAACTTTCAAGAGACCCAGGGATATTCTTTAGACCCGCTGCTGGCACCAATACTGCACAGCGGATGACTGGCCAAAAGCCGAGCAAGAGTAGAGTCATCGACTCATCTGAGGAATGCGCCTTACTGCAAGTGCTTGGGGTCCTTCATTTTGCTTCCTCATGACTAAGGCCAGGGCAAAGGGAGAGGCCGCGGCCATGAGCTTGCTTTCATGATCTCATCCAGTTACGAAAGCTGCCTCTTCAGAGCTTGAGAGTTGTATTTCATCAATTGGCAATTGGGTCAGTCCGGCAGGTCCTAGATGGGGGGAAGATGGGGGCGAGCTCGTGCCCTCGTAGATAGGTTTTGCAGGCAGAATGACTCCTCTCAACCACCGTTCCCGAGAGCAATGTCTTGAGATGCAAGCAGGAAGGTTTTAATGCCCCAACTAGCGCCCTGTATATGTATTTGTTTCAGCCGACCTAGCTGTCGTAGCCTTTCAACTTCCTATACAGGCATGTTGCAAGCTGGGCATGTGACATGCGTGGTTGCGAGCGACGCCTTCTGAGCTGGCCCCGGAGGCTGATGGCGCAACAAGTCCATACTGCCTCATTCTCAGGGGTCCTGAACGGCAAGCGACATCGCTGCAGCAACATCTAGCAGGGTTCAGCCTGTTTAGAGCAGTGCTTTGGATACTTCTCTTATGTTCTTTTGCAGCTTGAGGTGGCACTGTTTCGCCCGATCCTGACTCGGAGATGTCAAAGGAGCTGTACAAGGCCACAGTTCTAAATAGGTGCCAACCCTGCGCACAGTGCTTTACCTGTGCCTCGAAGCGAATGAAAGCCCAAGTTTCGGTTGTCGTGATGCTCACACACAGGCCAAGCGGCGTCGGTCCAGCGACCTCCTCTCAGTTCGCACAGCAAATTTTGGAAGCCCAGTGGACACCTTAGGGGCCCTGCCCGGGCCTTTCGATCGAATCTCAGGTCCGAGAGCACATGAGAATGCAGCAGAAGGCTGCTGGAGCGTCTGGTTGTTCAAAGGCACGCTTCGAACTGGGCATGTTTTCCAGACTCACCCGAGCCATCCCGAGCCCGTCTGAGAGCGAAGAAGGTGGAGACGCTCCTGATGACACTGGAAGCTGCTAGCAATAACTTGGAGATAGTCGGCGGCTCACACTGGTCTCGGAGCGGCGTGCAAGTGACTGTGTGTGTTGCGCGGAAAGGTGCTGCCATTTATTCCGGAGGAGCTGCGGGAGAAGCTAGCAAGCACGGAGTTCTCTACCCTGTGCTTGGCCGAGAAGCCCGCCAAGCATCATCGCTTCCCTGCGATCTCCTGTTACATTCCAGTCAGCACTCCCAGGTGCGATGAGAAATTCAGGGCTCTGGACGTCGAAGACCGTGGCAGGGGCCCAGAAGTAAACTGAAGTCACAGTTAAGTTCCGATTCATTGCAGGTGAGCTGACCTCTAACGACCTCATCCCGGTCATTGCACCATCCTCACTGAACGAGCAGTATCTGGTTAACTGCGAAAAAGCTTCATCTGACCAGGTGGAGCTAAGTCGGGCTCAAAAAGATTCTATATCAACGGAGCAATGCAGGACTTCGTCGCAAGTGTGTGTGTGTGTGTCTTCTGCATCAATTTTGTGCTTGTGTCTGCAATCCGTGCTTTCCGGCCAGGAAGTTTGCAGACATGTTCGACTCCAATCAGGAGCCTGCTGCTTTTGGCTGACCGCACAAGTAGTCAGCAGACAGTGCGGCACCGTGCATTGGACAAGCCGTGTTGGCTGAGCAATTGCGTTGCAACCCGGAAGCTGCAGCTCGGGTTGCTTGCAGGACGGCTTGATCAACATTGCAGAATTCACACAGATGGTGCAGTTTGTCACAGTTTCCGGATGGTTAGAGAGTCAGGCACCTCACTCCAGACGCTGTGCGGGTTCTAGCCCATGGATGCGTTGAGCACTTCCGAAGCTTATTCTTGACGTTTTGCAGCATTTCGCTGATTCAACGATTCGCCAACAGGAAGGAAAAGACATGATCCAAAAGGCGGGTCAGCGTTTCACCCGCATTGGCGTGTGTTTGCTCGTCTGCCAGTTTGCCAGGCAGAGCTTGCTGATCGATCTTTCCAGGCAGGACAGGGCTGCCATGTCAGCAGGCGTTGGATTCTCCATGAGAGGACTTGATAAAGATGATCGAGGCAGACAAGGCAAAGGGCCGCTGAAGGCCGTGTCTTCTTCTCATTGCGCTCGAAACGGCAGGAGCGGCTCTGGAGCATCATCCCCTTTCTTCCGGAATGGCTGGTGAATCACCTTACCAGCAAGGAGTTTGAGGAGGCGCAGAGCGTTTTGCATGTTTTGCATTGCTCTGCTCTGCGAATGTGCCCTTTAGAGGCTTGCCACGAGCAGTTCGATGGTCTTGACGTGGACGGTAGTGGTAGCCTGGAGCCTGTTGAGCTGATCCCCATTATCCAGGCCATCTGTCAGACGGAGGCCTGCCATGGCCTGAAAGAGCCTCCAATCAGCGGCCGCGGCCCTGTGTTGTCCAGGATCACGGGGTGGCGATCACCGAAGAGCGGTGTCAAAGGCTGGGAGCTCAATCGGTCAAGCAAGTCGGTGCCGTTCAGCGTGAGCTCGTCAACATCCGCAAGGTTCACGTCGCTGTTTGACACAGATGGCAACGGGGTCATCAAGTCTCCAGCTCATTTCGTCTGAGCTGGCTTGCGGGCCTGATAAGGTTTGGTTTGCACAGATGGATTGGGGTTCTCGCATGCAGCTGAGGCGGGATGAGTTCATAGAGTTTGCACAGTTTCTGACGGGCAGCATTCCCAGACTGCCATTGCTTCATTTCGCCTCGTCCGGTCATCGTGCGGCCGGTGTGACCGTCTTCGTCCTGGTAGAGTTTGCCTTGAGCGTTTTCTCGGGCTCCAGCAAATGCTGTTCCCTGGTAAGAATGCTGGCTGGACACATAGACATAAACCTTACTTAACATGCAGACATATACACACTTTCATCATTGTCTTGCTTGCTTGAATCGAATTCTCGAAGTAGTCATGCACCCGTTGCATGCATCTTTGTGTGTGTGTGTTTGTGTGCACATGTGTATGTTTATGTTTATGTTTATGTTTATGTGTATGTGTATGTATGTATGTATGTATGTATGTATGTATGTATGTATGTATGTCCCTATGTACACATGTATGAATGGACAGACAAATTAATGCATGCACGCATGTATGCATGCCACTAATGTTTGCTTGTTGCCCTTTTGGCTTGTTTGTTTGCTGGTTTAAGGATATATGTGTATCTATGTATCTTTGTCTCGGTGTGCTTGTGTGCCTACCTATTCATCTGCTTATGT